ATCTGGTGAGGGGTTGAACAGTTTATGCACTGTGTGGAAAAGTACTTAATTTAATAAAGTCCTGCTTGGCTTTTTTGTACTGGAAGAGATGATCAGCAATTGGTCCTTGTTCACCCTGTCCATGCAACTTATGAGTTACATTCTCTCCACCTCTTTCAGCTGTCAGTCTCACTGGGGTTAGAGTCCTGTCTTGGTTAACAATCATACAAAAGCCTTTATGCAGTCCTTCTCTTGCATCACTTTCTATCTTTTCTTAATCTGTCCCAACCTTTTAGACAAAGGGGAAAGGGGAAAACTGGCACACGGGGGTTCACTGTGAATTTTATACAGTAGTAGAGGTAATAGTGTCTTCCCTTTTTTTCCTCCAAGATGGCATTCTGCTGGGATGTCTTAGTGCTGAGGGCAGGTGATGCTGGACAGTGGCTGAGCATTGAGCTTATTTCAAGAACTCTGGATGACATTTCAGGGTTTCACTCAGTGCGGTAAGAGCAAGGGGAGAGACAGTTGCTTTCTATGTAAGGTGAGGGTTGTTGCTCCCTTATGAAACAACATGTAGATGAACTCAGTGGTGTTCATCTGCCAGTTCTCTTTGTGGTACTTGGGACCATTGGCAACTCTTTATTACCCCAGATAGCTTGAGTGGCTTCACAAATTTTGTCACTTTTCTAAGTGATCAGCTTTTCTGGAGCATTTAGAAATATTTCAAACAGAAACAGCTCCAACAGAGATCCCATTAGAGCTTGCGGGTCAATCTGTCTTCACTGAGAAAACCAGCTGCTACTTTTATTTCATATCTTTTTGCTAGTCATTTGTCTGTGCAAATGCCTTCCCACTTTATCGCAGCCATGCTCAGTTTCTGCAAGAGCTTTTGACAGGGGCTGTTTGAGAACTTATTTTGTAAAGCCAACTGAATTGTATCAACTGCATCTTCTTTGTCCACATAGCAAGCAGCTGCTTTAGATACCTAATGTAAAAGGAGTCAGTAAGCTGTGCACAGATGCACTGACTCTTTCTTAAGATGTCATGTTTATCTCTCTGCCTTTTTTCCTTTGAAGCAGTTTCTCTTACTGCTGGTGGCTTACAATGGAGTGGCTTATAGTGTGTCAGAGCATGTCCATAGGCAAGTGAAATGCTTCTGAGTCCGTACTTTCCTGGGTCTTTGGCTTTCCAAACTGTTTTTCCAATGCCATCAGTTCTTACAGGGTATACCCCCCAGTTACTCCATACTTTCCGCTGCAGCTCCAGAGTAACTGCTTATGCAAACTAGTTTGTGTCTGTCTTATTGATAAATTACAGAGGTGCAGAGGGTTTATTTTGCAGTGGCCCACTTTGATACAGTTCAGGTACCACAGTTAAGGAACCTTTGGCTTGGAGATAATTCCTGCAAGTGGAATGTGCTCTTTGACAGAAGGTTGAGTTTAACTGCTGCCTGAAATTACATTCTGTGTGGGGAAACTGTGACCTCCTTATAAACTCAAATGGTAGCAAGGGGGTTTAATAGAGGAAAATAGATGCTAAGTATTTCAGCAGTCTGTCCTGGAATCCCAGAGGGATCATTTGGATCTGTTACCTGGTAGGTAAAAGCTTTGCTCTGTGCCTGTTTTGATGACGAATTACTTCTGCATCCTGGTGACTGATGACTGTTGTAGACTTGTTGGTTGATGGACAGTTTGCAGATGATCATATGCTCTAATGAATTTCTCTGTGGGAAGGACAGGAGTCAGTTACCAGAATCCTCTCTGTGAATTATTTTCTCCACAATGGTTAAATTATTCCATATTTCTTACACACATTTGTGCTCATATTTTTCTGATTGTACTGCTAAGAAGAATTCTGTATCTGAAGCCGACTTCATCAATAAGGTTGTGTTGCATAATGCATTTTTAGCTTAACAAATAAGTGTCATCCATAACTTCGGAAGTAACTTTGGGATCATATACTATAAAATAGCTTCTAATTTCCAAGATTCTGTAATAGTCAGTAGTTATTTTTACTATTTTTTTTTTATTACAGAGGTGTTAAATTGTGTTCTTGTTAAAGAGTTTTAACAAGGTATGGTTTGATGCATTTGGTTGCATTATTTGGGTTTCTAAGTTTTTCCTGACTTGGATTTAGCCTGGCTGCAAAGTTCAGCTGTGCTTGAGATTTGGCTTGTATTGTTTTGAAAATACGCATATTACTCTTCACACCCCCTACTGATCACTGAAATGGTCAAGCAGAAGAGACTTGTGTAGTCTGTGATTGACCACAGATTTATCAATGAAGAAATCAGATTTCATACTGGTGAGTGAATTCAGCATGAGGAACATGAGGGGGTGTTATTTTTGTATGAGGACTTACTTTGTAATTGAGAATGCTCATCCGGATTGTATCTGCGGCTGATGGGATCAGTTTTTGGTTGTTCAGTCTTTTTTTTCTTGACTGAAGTAGATCTAAGAGCAGAGTTTTGTCTGTTCTTAGTAACAGAGTACTCTGAATGCTAAAAGGCTGATTACACGTTGATGCAGTAGAGTCCTTATATTTTCTTTGTGTGACCAGTAGAACCCGTTTATAAATGGACAGTTTGTATCTATAAACTAGCAGATCTATTACAATGACTTCTTGTGAGCCTCAGGATATTAAAGTCATTATTCTTGGCCATATTTTCAAAATCTGTTATATCCGCAGTTGGACAAAAAACAGTACTACATTTTCCTGCTACCTTTCCTTTGGCTTTTGTTCCAAGCTCACTTTTTATTGTTAGATAACAGACAGATACTTGATGACCAGAGTACCAGTAGCTGCATCACACCTAGTTTCTTTCTTGGTCATATTCTTTATTTAGCAGTTTTCTTATAGTAAATAATTGGCATAGGAAGCCAGCTGTTTGCCAGTGCAACACTTGAAATGCAGTGTTAACATGCAGTGATGGTTTTCAGGCTGTTACTTGTTGGGCTCAGGAAGATCAGTCAGTCAATAATCCCTCTGTAATTCAAACTACTCATTTGCCTACAACCACTAAAACTCATGTGTGCCGAGACTGGTGTCTCTGTGTCATGATAATCTTGGTTGCCTTGTTCAGAAAAGTTGAAAATGGTCTGAAAATTTGGTTTAATATTGCCATATATATTAATTTTTAATAGTTACATTTTTAGAATTTCATAAATGAATCTTTCTTGTTACTAGATTAACATTTCTCTATTTTTCTGATGTTCCTGGTAGTAGCTTTTCACCCAGGATTTTTAAAAACATATGGGTTTGAGACATGCTTGGATTTTTTAGGAAAACTTAACCAACGTAGGCGTTGGTCTGTACAGAAAAGTCATGTTGTTTTAATTTAGGATTTTATTTTGCAAAGCAGCTGAAAAATCAAAGGTGCTTGTACCTTTCTGGTAAAACCGCCTATTAGAAAGAGGAATATCCTATATTTAAAGGATGCTGGTATCTCAAATACTGGATGAAGCTGTTAGAGGTTTGATTGTGTCCTGCACGTTAAGTGTTCCTGCCCTTTGGGAGAAGCATTAAGTAGTTTTTCTTTGGTTGAAATCCATACTTACGATTTCTCTATGGGCAAAGAATGAGTCCAGAATGCTGACAAGCTTAGTGCTTTCCTTGGATTATGTTGTCTGTGTTGCTCCAGTCTGGAGCCAATTGTTATTTCGTCTCTCTGTAAACAAGTGTTTACAACCTCATCTGACCAGCAGTGACTTCTGGGCTGAACGAGCTGAGACCAGTTTAGGTTTGTTGATGGAATCTCTGGTTTTGTTTCGCCCTTTAATGAAACACTGCATTGAGTCTCACTGTGGAAGAGCAAAAGTTTGATGCTGTTTAGTTCTCTTCAGATTTGATTCAAATTCTTTTTCATATTGGTGTCATCTGTGTGAGTATTTGCCTTGTGTATGTAGTTTGCTGGGCTTTGCCCTTTCCCTTTCTGAGATCTGTGTATACAAGTTGAAACTATTTTATTATGGTGGAAGTTTTCACTATGCTTTTCTCATTGTATTTTTTTTTTATTTCAAGGTTCAAGAAACTTCCCTTGTGGTGGGTTGTGCAGTTGATAATCTTAGTTTCCATGCTGTTCTCCCCCTGGACTTCAGAGTTTTTGGTTAGCTGCTTGAAGTCCTGCAGAGAGAGGCTTTTAGTCGATAACGGATTTGATGGCTTTGACGCAAAAAGGCATTCAGGGAGGAGATGAAATGCAGCTCCATCCCATGGGAACATCTCACCCATAGCTTGAGTGTTTGCATTTAAAGGGGGTTCTTCTCTTGAACTGGAGAAGGATGATGCCCACTGGAGGTCACTGTTTCAACTCGTGGAATTTCACTTCTAGTGCTCTGGTGTGTGTGTGTGTAGGTGTTGGGACATACTCTGTGTCTCAGCATGTATTTACTTAGGACAGGGTACTTGAATGATTGAATTAAATCTGTGCCTAAGTGATGTTTTGAATGCTGATAAACAGGCGTTACAGGACTAGGGGTGAGGGTGGGCCTTATTTGCAGTTCATCCTTTTTTTGACATGTTATGTTTCAGGTTACTACCCGTTTCCATGTCCCTGTTGTATTTTGATAACTATGGTTAAAGGATAAATCATGATAACTTTTTAAAATTTATCTTTAAGGTTGTTTCATTTCCTAATTTTTGCAGTGTATTAATTGCACAGGTGGTATTCGAAATAGTTTCAACTTGGAGGAAAGTAATTCCTGCAGTTGACTTCCTATTGTAATCTTTGCAGTTAGGGCTGCCTTTTCCATTGATGAGTTGTTACTCAGAGGAAGAATTGTGAGATAAGGAAATCTCTGTATGTAATTTGAATCAGAGCTTGGTGATTAAAGCGATTACAAGCCTTGCTTAATTCAAAACTCTTTTAAAAAGAACAGCTTTTATATTGCTGCTAAGCTCCATTTCTGATAAGGGCCAAAATAAAGATACCTGCTGAGGAAAAAGGGGCTGACAGGTTTTCTGGGCAGCTATGTAATAGCTATTTTTGTGTAAGGAGTGAGCTAAAGTGCTATGCTTAGGAGAAAAATTCACACAAAGATTCAACCCTCATATGTGTGTCTCTCTTTTTCCCCACCCTCTAGTGATATGCAGCTTCCGAGGAACTGTACCGCAAGGCTTGGTCCTGGAACTAGGTGAAACTGTCCAGATCCTAGAGAAATGTGAAGGTAAGTGTGATGTCCAAGAAGGAATCCCATTTTTTTTTAATACAAGAATATGCAAATATTTTAATCTAGCAGATTTTAATAAGTTGTTTGCAAATCATGATGCATCAAATCAAAGCACTTAAATAAACCTTATCTGACCCACTTTCTGTAGGAAAGGCTGAGCGCTCTTGGCGCTAATCCAGTCTGATAGGGGGTCAGTGTGTTTTAAGTTAACCATCTGTCCAGAAAATCTTGAACCCTGACCTGATTGTTGTCCTGTAATTGGGTCTTGCAGTGAATTTTCATAATGTAAAATATATGATCAGTATCTTATTTTACTATGTTTTTCTCTGTGCTACTGTATTTCAATTAAGTATATCAGTATATACATGAAAAGTATATCATGTGAACACATGAAAAATGTTACTTAAGAAATAGGTTAGGAAATCATTTGGGAGCAACACAGTGAAAAATCTAAAGAATATGGATTTAGGGGAGTTGCTTTATGTGTGGTTTTGTACCTAAAGGAAAACGCTGTTGAAAGCATATAGCTGTAGTTTTTTCTTCAGTGGCTGGAGATGTGTGTGTTAACAAATTGAATGGCCTGATCCTTTTGCTTTATTCACATGAGCAGGGTGATTGAACTTGTTGTATGTAAGAGAATTATTTTTATCCTAATGTTCAAGCAAGTCGTGTAAAACATGTCTGTTGAGAAGTAGGTTGACAAGATGCAGTATGAGAACATGTTTCACTATTGACTGAGGTGGAATAATGTAACCTTAATCCTAAAGTGTTAAAACAAATTCAAACCCCAGATCCACACATTTGAATTCCAAATTAGCAGAGAGTTGTAGGTTTGGTTTTGTGTTTGTTTAGTTTACACCATTTTTCATCTCCAGTGTTAGTGTTGTTACACAAACCTTCTGCATGCTTATCAGGAGGCTGCTTTTCTTCTCTCATGCCTAGATCTGTCTTTTGCTCTTGATGCTTTTTCTTCTCATGTGTTTTGTTTCTTTACCTACTGACTTAACTCTTCATAAAAAAGTGACTTCTTACATGCTATTTTTAATAAGAAAGTAGTAGCTTCTTCACCTATACGTGTAAAAAAAAGAAAGAAGTCTGTTGAATGAGAGTTGTACAGTGAAATAGTGATGTTTAATCCATGAAGTGGGCTGTGAACAATAGCTGCAGTATTATACCTGCAAATGCTAATGTTTAAAAAAACCACACATGGTGTAAGGGGCTAAGCTTTGCTCAAGCACTGTGTGGTGATTGTAGTCATTCTGTCAGATCTTGTGAATTAGTACGTGGTGCAAGCTCAGGAGACATTTCTTACTTTATATAGGCTAGCATAACTCTAAGATAAAATGTGTATCTTGCTGAAAGCACTCATGGTGTTTTCAAATAAGACCTGGTAATCAAGGAAACTTTTAAAACCTTGGGAAATAAAAGCACAATCTCAAAGGAGCAGGGTGCTTACAGCAAAACAAAAGGATAATCCAGTGTCTCTTTACAGTGTTGTAATAATTATGCTCTGTATTTCCTTTGCCAGTAGTTTTGAGGATGATCCCTTAAAGCCAATTCATGCCAGTTTTCAAGTTGCTGAGAAAGGAGGTCCTCAGACAAAGCGCTTTCCCGAGTAGAAGGAGGTGTTTGCACAGGGTTTTTTCAGGTTTTGTTTTTTAAGCCCTCTGTCCTGTCATTTTACTGAAGGTGCCTTTACCCTGGACTTTACATACCGAAAAAGATATATTGATTTTGATTATAGTATCTGCAACTCCCCAAGATGAAACTCATCTGAAGATTCAAACCGTTTGTGCTGCAGCTCTTGTATGTGTGAATTAGGCCAGAAGCACACTAACTGGGCAAAGTAGGTTCTTGAAGGAAAAACGATGTATCCGTTGTTGAAGCATTCTTGTCTGAGTGGTTCTTCAATGTGGTCCTCGGTTTGCCTTGAAAATCTGAAATCAAACATACCTCATCTTCTACTTCTGCCTTACTTCCAGGATTCTTTTGTCAGACAAATTGGATAAATTAACGTGAACCCATGCAAATAAAGGTCACTGCTGCAGGAGCTGACAGAAGATCCATTGCTGTTTCAGCTTCACTTCTTAGAACAGTTTGTGCATAATTCTTTAAGTAGCGACTTTGCTGTCTGGGTTAAAAGGATTCACATACACACAAACCTTCTAGTGACATGAAGAATGATTTCAGAGACTTGCTGAAGAATTCAAGGCTCCAAAAGATTCAGATAACTAGTTATATCTCTGAATGTGCTTGTTATTAATCACAATGACTTACTGAATAACTGTAGTATTATTCCAAAAGAGCAAGTGCTCTTTTGTAGTGACTGGTGTACAAAGCATTCAATTGCTACATTTAGAGCAATTTAATGAAAGCGCAGGGAATGGAGGGAATCTCCTGTACTAAGTTTCTCAGGTACCTCTGAAGCTAAGTTTTAAATGTATTTGTAGAATAAAGAAATAAATATATATGCATACAAACACATGTGTGTATATATATACATACATGTGTATTTGTCTCTGAGTCTTGTAAATCTGGATACCTATTGATAACACATTTAACTTTCAATATGGTTGTGTGTGCATTTTTTTAAGTAAAACGCAGTGAAATAGTTGTCTTTGTTACTCTGGATCTATTCATGTGCTTGAAATCAGAATTCTTGAGTTTCAGTCAGTTTGTGTGCCTGCCATTCTGCATGCTTTCATACCAGGACACAGAAGTCTAAATGGCTGTTTTCTAACCCTACCTGAACCTGAGGGATGTCTCCTACTTCATTCCCCGCTCCCCAGTTTAATGTGACAGGGTTGAAACCCATGTGCTATAGCATCTGCCTTTCCTCTGAAGCTACAAAAAACTCCATCCATGTTTCATGAAATGCGATGCTGTCTCTAAAGCATGTGATGTTGCTGTGGTAGTTTTATAGTTACTGTTTGCCTGAATGACTCTGAGATCCTTGACTGGTCCCACTCAAGTTATCAGGACATCAGTTGTGCGCATGCTTGTCTTTCACAGCTTTCCCCTCTCTCTGTTCCCCTCTCTGCCCCCTTCCACTTATGATCTTGCCACTTGAGAGAGAATTGAAACAGTAAATGGTGTTCCCTTCTCGTGCCATGCATTGAGGAGGTGAAAGGGTGTGCCAATAGTTTGCCACCTGTCAGTGCTGAAAGACAGTTTTCTTCTGTCAAGTGACAAAGCATGAGCATACTTCTTGATTGAAATACACGGGGGCTGCATGTTCTAAGGAAGACCCTATTTTCCAAGTCAAATGGCTCTAGCCCTGCTACTGGCAGTAGCTGTGAGTAACTGACAGCATTCAGAGTGAAATTTAAAGTGTCTGTTGTATCCAATTGTTTTTATTGCTAGGGAGCAGGTTTGTTCAGATTAAAAATGTTACAACTTCAGTGACTTTAATTATTACCTTGAGACTCTCGTATAGTCACTGAAGAAACACTACCTGATGCCTGAAGCACCAGTTAAGAGTATTATCTTACCCATGCAAATTCTGGTATCCACACAAGTATTGATTTGCATGGTGTTAATGCGTGTGTATGTTAGTAACAGTGTTCTTAAGCCATGCATGTGATAAAGTCTTTAACTTTTCTGTTACTGCAGCAGTGGCAGCACAGCCAGATAAAGGCTGTATGGTATTTGGGACACCTAAGCAGCAGATACAGCTTGAAATCAGGGCTTTTTTTTGAGGAGTGATCATCTTTGCCATGCTTCCAAGTTGTACCATGCAGATGAGTGAGGAATCGCACTTCACACTGCTGTCATTGCTGTGGAACAGTGCAGGTTTCCTTCCACCTGCTGTGCTGCGGCTGGGCCTAATTGAGTCACTCCCAGTAATGTGGGTTTACCCTGAGAAAGAGATCTCCAGTGAGATACCTCTTTTCCCTTTTCATCCCATTTCCTCTTTGCCTGTTGTGCAGTGTGCCAGTGGAGCTGAGGTCTCTTGGACCCCCAGAGCTGCTGCAGAAGATCTTGCCTAGCTATTAAACGAGGCTTTGGAGCACAGGAGTTGCTTCTTGATGGTCCTCTATTTAGCTAAGGCCAAGATAAAAAATGTTCCATCTCTTCTGCTTTTGTTGCAGCATCTCTGAGTTCATTGTTAGCATATTCCTGTGGTTCTGCTGGCATGAGGTTGCTCCCTGACATGGTGTTGGCAGCCTGGATTAGGTATTCATCTGCTGCTTGTCCTTGTCCTGGCACTGCTCGGAGCAGCAAGCTCTGAACAGAGTGGTCTTGGCATTGATGGTTTCAGCATCAAGAAGCTTTTGCTAAACAAAGTTACAATCCCTCTTCTGGGTCACTTTGAATGCCTTTAGCTCTGCACACTAGTTGTATGCAGGTTAAAAGGTAAAAGCAATTGTTTATTGGCCATTCTATGCAAAAGAGAGCTTTCCTCCTAGAAAAGATTTGAGGGTTACTCGTGTTACAGCAAAGTACAGTTATTTTTGTAGGGCAAAGAAGGTTTGAATTCTTGAAACGGAATCTCCTAGCAGTGCTTTCTTTAAGAGCCAAGTTCAGCCTCAGGACTTGCCGTAAATACTTGTGTAGTTTAATTTCAGAATTCTGCTGGTTACGATACTGTATGTAGGTTTTTTCCCTGCAGCCTGCAGCTGATGTGGCTTTATTTAACCCAGAGAGTTGAGCTTTATTTTTCTGAGATCAATCCCCTTCAATTAGGACCCTTTTGTTTTTCTGCTGCTGAGTTTTCCATGTGGCAGACCTCTTGTTCGTTAAGTGGAAATCTGAAAAAGGTTATGAGGTGCCTTTTAGAAATAATACCCTGTTTGTTCAAGGCACTTCTGAGATCAGAAAGCATTGATAGCTCTTCTAATTGCTTAGATTAGGAGGTTGAGGTGTGTGGGCCTGCCCCAGAGTTCCTTTTGCTACTTAGCTAAGCTTGCACTGTAGCTGAGACTTGTGAGTGAGAACCATCTTTGGGAACACTGTTCTTCTTCATCCAAGAGTACGCAGGTTTCTGGCTTCATGTT